CTGGTTGTCCATTGACAGTCTGCACATTGGGCTGAACAGGCACACGGGCATGAGATATACAGTATTCCCCCCAAAATTATAGTAATCATTTTAACATTTTGTTTATAGGCATGCAAACAAGCACATGCAAACCTCACATAAATCTGTGACTTTTTAAAGGGAGTGGATAATGTGTTATCCTTCTACCTAAAGATGCATCTACACAGCAAAATTAATGCAGCGTGATACCACTTGAACTGACATAGCTCAGTGATATGGAATCATGGGGGTTGTAGCTTTACAAGGTCTTTAGCCTTATCTACCAAAGAGTGCTGGTGCCACCCCAAACCACGTATCCTATGAATCTAAAGCACTGAGCCCTGGCTGTTAAAGTGGTGTCAAACTGCATTAATTCTAAAGTGTAGATGCACCATAAGTTACTAAAAACATTGTGCAACTAGACTCCCACTAAATGCAGACACAAGAACAGAGATGTATCTACACCAGAGATGGGCAAACTTTGGCCCTCCAGGTGTTTTGGACTTCATCTCCCACAATTCCTAACAGCCAGGAAGGAGGGCTGAATGCCCATTGCCTGTTCTACACTGTGTAATTAATGCAGTTTAAGACTACTTTCACTGCTATGGCTGGGGTTCAATAACAAGTCCTAATTGATTTAGTTTTTTGGTTTTTTTTTTGTCGTGTCAGGAGCGACTTGAGAAACTGCAAGTCGCTTCTGGTGTAAGAGAATTGGCTACCTGCAAGGATGTTGCCCAGGGGATGCTTGGATGATTTGATGTTTTCATCATCCTTGTGGGGGTTTCTCTCATGTCCCCGTATGAGGAGCTGGAGCTGCTAGAGGGAGCTCATCCACCTCTCCCCGAATTCAAACCTGCGACCTGTCGGTCTTCAGTCCTGCCGGCACAGGGTTTTAACCCACTGCGCCACTGGGGGCTCTATCAATTTAGTAGTATCCTCACATATACTTTATATAGATGGCATAGGAGTGAGATAGGCTGGTAGATCCTGGCATTGGAGGCATCTTTACCAGGTTTTAAAATGGCAGTTATCCTAGTTTTCCTCCATTGTCTGGGAAGTTATTGAACCCCAGCTTATTGCACAAAAAGCAGGTTTCAGACCAGGGAAAAACTGTACAGCCCAAATTCTTAATCTGACTGAGTACATCGAGGAAGGATATGAGAAAGGTTGCATTACTGGAACAGTTTTTGTCGAGCTTACAGAAGCCTATGACATGGTGCAACATAGGAAAATGCTGCAGAAAGTCTACCATATTATTCGAGACTATGATTTTACAAAAACTATCCAAACTCTCCTAGAAAACCATAGCTTGTGAAGTTTCAAGGCAGGAAAAGTAGATGGAGGAGGCAAAAGAATGGTTTACCCCAAGCCAGCGTTCTTGCATTGACCTTGTTTAATATCTTTACTAATGATCAGCCACAACCACCACTCACAAAGAGCTTATGCTGATATATGCTGATGACCTTGGCCTAACTACACAAGCAAAAGACTTCGAAACAGTTGAAATCCAACTTACTAATGCCTTGATAGAGCTCTCCAGCTACTACAAAGATAACCACCTGAAGCCTAAGCCTGCCAAGACACAAGTGTGTGCTTTCCATCTAGGCAACCGTGAAACCAACAGGAAATTGAAAGTCGCCTGAGAAGGTCAAGAACTTGAACATTGTTTCCATCCTAAATATCTCGGTGTCACCTTAGATCAAACACTAGCATATAGGAAACATTGCTTGAACACCAAGCACAAAGTAACTGCACGCAATAACATCCTGTGGAAACTTACTGGCAGCACATGGGGTGCAGACCGAAAATTAGTAAGAACATCAGCCCTAGCCTTGTCTTACTCAACTGCTGAGTATGTCTGCACTGTTTGGCATAGGTCTGCCCATGCAAAGCAGGTGAACATAGCATTGAATGAAACATGCAGAATTACCACAGGATGTATTAAACCTACACCTGTTGATAAACTCTATAAGCTAGCTGGCATCGCCCCCTGATGCTGCTGCTAAATGTGAGAGAAATAAGGTTGAACACTGTGAAAGCCATCCACTACATGGCTACCAGCCTCCTCCCAGTAGACTCAAATCAAGGAAAAGCTTTATGAGAACTACCACTCCTCTTGGTGTCCCCCCAGCAACAGCAAGGGTATCCCTCTGGGCAGCTAAACCAGGAAATCCCAACTGGATGCCCCCCCCCTGCAAGGGTCTTCCTCCAGGGGCAAACCAAGAATGGGCAACTTGGAAGTCCCTGAACAGACTCAGAAGTGGAGTGGGCAGATCAAAAGACAACCTGGCAAAATGGCACTACCTAAAGAATCCCACACCTTGTGTGAATGTGGAGCAGAACAGACAACTCCGCATCTGTATGCTTGTCCTCACTGCCCTACCTCATGTACAGAGGAAGAATTGTTGCAGGCTACAGACAATGCCATTGCTGTTGCCCATTTTGGGTCAAAGGTTATTTAGCCGCCTGCACTCCTTCAATTTTTATCAGTTTTATACTAATTTATGCAATGCTTTTGATACAAAATAAATAAAAAACTGCTACGGCTCAATACAATGGAATTTTGGGAGTTATAGTTTGTCACGGTACCAGCACTCCTTGGCAGAGAAGGCTAAACCTTGTAAAACTACAACAAAACAGTCCAGTGATTAAACAGTCAAACAAATTTGGTGAGTAATCTGTCATCTAGTCTTGTTTAGATGAGTTCAAATAAGTACAGAGAACATACGAAATGAATATGAGTTATTTTTAATTAATTCAGGATTTATAGATTTTGGAAAAGAAAGAAAGGAGGAGGAGGGAAAAAAGCAATAAGCAGCACAGAATGATCCCGGCCAAATAAAGCAAGGCGTGAACATAAAGCAGCAGGGAAAAGGGAGGGGAAAGAGCCATTGCTACGCACAAGTAGCAAAGTGTGAGTTGATCATATGATCGTTTTTGAATTAACACAGTGGCATGTGATTGCTTCTGGGTTTAAGCTAATTGATTTCAGGCATCTGGATTTCTCAGCTAGAGATGACAACTTGTGTATCAAAATGTAATCAATTTTTTTGTATACAACTTTAAAAAGCTTCTATAATCTGTTTTGGCCATTAGATAATCTGCCTTGCAAATGAGGATGATTCTGCCTAATTTACAAATCCATCCAAGAGGTAAAATAATCTCACTTCAAATATCAACGTCTGCTGCTATTTGTGCCATAGCATTTTATTACAGAGTGAAATAAAATGTCTATTATTAACTGTGAAAATATGTCTTTCATGCTGGTGAAAATACATAGATACAAACATCATTGCCTGAGGCAGAAAGCTGCAAGAGTTTTGTTTTGTTTTTCTCTGTCAAACAAATGGAAGGAGGACAAATACAATGATGTTCCTATATGCCTGAATTAGTTTTGATAAATCATAATCTAAAATGGGACCCATTCTGGTTATCACTGACTTTTAAGTTATTAGCCCTTGATCACTGTTGCAGAAGGAAATCTAAATCCATGTAGGAACGACCACAAGCATAGAAATGAAAAGCTACATCAGGCAGCTAGTCTACTAGTAAAGATGTCTATTTTCTGTCCAGTTAAGCTTTGGACTGGATTTCGAGCTCTTTGCATTTACAATGAACTATACAGGTTGAACATTCCTTATTTGAAAAACTGAAATACTAAAAAATCTGAAATTATTTACATTGGTGGCTGAAATAGTGGCACCATCTCATTCTGTTGGTTCCTGGTACACAGACAAAATCCTTTAAAATGCTATGTGTGTAAAATATATATGAAACACACACATACACACACAAACACACACACACACACATACTACGTGTATAACATATATATGAAACACACAGAGAGACTTGGGTCCATAATGTTTAGACTTGAGTCCATATTTCATTATTTAAGTAGACCTCTCAAAGATATGTCCATGATATATGTCCATGGCATTTCTAGGTTCTTCCAGTACGATTCTATGGCCAACTTCTCATGGAATTACACTGGACGACTTAGAGATGACGTATTTTTTGGTCACATGTAGGGCAGTGGCAGGGGTGGAGGTAAAAACAGTAATCTACAAATAGAATAATAGAATCATAAAGTTGGAAAAGACCTCATAGAATCATAGAATCAAAGAGTTGGAAGAGACCTCATGAGCCATCCAGTCCAACCCCCTGCCAAGAAGCAGGAATATTGCATTCAAATCACCCCTGACAGATGGCCATCCAGCCTCTGCTTAAAAGACTCCAAAGAAAGAGCATCCACCACACCCTGAGGCAGAGAGTTCCAGTGTTGAACAACTCTCACAGTTAGAAAGTTCTTCCTAATGTTCAGGTTGAATCTCCTTTCTTGTAGTTTGAAGCCATTGTTCCACATCCCTGTCTCCAGGACAGCAGAAAACAAGCTTGCTCCCTCCTCCCTATGACTTCCCCTCACATATTTATATATGGCCATCATGTCTCCTCTCAGCCTTCTCTCCTAAAGGCTAAACATGCCCAGCCCTCCTCTGGACAAATTCCAGCTTGTCAACATCTTCCTTCAATTGTGGTGCCCAGGATTGGACATAGTAAATAATCAAATCAATGAATGCCTAAGCTGCAAATGTGGAGAAATCTGAATGCTTGAACTGCAAACATGGAAGGATCCCAAAATTGAAGGGGATGGGGGCGGGGCACAATAATCATAGATTTGCACAAGACCACAAGAGTATCTAGTCCTACCCGGAATATACAATCAAAGCACTGTAAGCAAATAGCCACCCAGTCTCTGTTTTAAGAAACCTTCAAAGATGGATACTCAAGTAAGCTCCAAAGCAGCATATTTCACTGCAGAACAGCTCTTACCATCAGGAAATTCTTTCCTAAGATTAGGAGGCATGTCTTTTGGTCCCAAACATTTTGGATAAGAGACATTCAACCTATGCTTCAAAATGATCCAGAAAGATCTGATAGGTCTTGAAGCTTCTGGGAATGGCTGCGTAAGTTGTACATACCTGGCAAAAGAGTGGCTACGTTGTTGTTATCCTCTGTCCCACAGCCGAGGAACACATCCACAGTGTCTTGGTCAGAGAGGTCCATCATGTCCATCTGTTCCAGCATGTCCACATTCACCTCCATGGAAGATATGCTGCCCAAGGGAGCTGGCAAATACAGGGAAATTATCAGATGACAAACAGCACAACATCAAGGTGGGGCTTCAAGAATCTCAAGGGGCATTACAGGCGGTACTTTGCTTGATAAATGCTTACACTTGCCATTGTAGAAATGGATAACAATGTATCTCTTTCCCCAACTAATAAAAATGCAAAACAAGCCAATCAGACAGATCTGGAATGTAAGTGGAACACAACATTTGCCCTTGGACATTATTGCATGAAACCACCATCTCACAGCACCCAAGAACTTACTAGATGATGGCCATCTTTGTTATAACATGTCTCTGTGATGACACAACTTGGCTGCTCCCTGATCCTGCATGCCAGCACAGAAGCTCCTAGAGATTACTACACAAGACAAGTTCTAGGATTGTGGCCCATCAATACCTGGGGGCAGCTTTGTTGTGGGGAGGTGGCAGACCAGAAATGGGTATCACATGTGTAATACTTCTGTACTGGTTTGCTACTTCCATGCAAGAAGGTTTCTTGAGCCATGCACTAAGGCAATCACTTTTTGGATTATAACTCCCAGAATCACCTAGCAGTTATTCTGGTTGGGGACTTCTGACAGCTGCCGTGCAAACCAGCGACATTTATCCATTTTGGTCTGTAGTATCTTTAGCAGCACTTACGTCTCCTGTGTTCTATCTGCAGGTGGGATACTGGGAAGAAGAAATCAACATCATGCTGGAAAACCTCCTCGAAGAATCTCTGCCTCTCGCGGAGTTTGAGCTGTTGTTGCTGCAGCTGCTCTGCATCGAGTCCCCGCTGCCCATTTTCCATGTCAGCTAAAATGGGGCCAGAGAAATGAAATGTTTAGGCAGAGAACAGAAGGAATCAGAAGCCGCATCCTTTCAGGTTCTGAAAGACTATCTCTCTATATAAGTCTGCGCAAATATTTAGATCACTGTGAGAGGATTTTCTTTTGGTCCCACATGGGGAAGAAGTTCAGTAAACCACATTTGGTAAGGACATGGGAGATACCCATCTTGATGGATACTTCTAGGTCATGGAAATCCCTTCCACAGAAGAATCAATTGTCTCCATTCTCAGCTTTCTTTCTGCCAGAAGATAAAGACCTTTTCATTCAGGAGGGCCTTAAAGTGTGTGGGAGTAGGTTGTGTTTTTTTTTGTTTTGTTTAATGTGGTACGTTGTGCTTTTTTCTTTTTCATTATGTTTTGATGAAGTTACCACAGAGTCATATTGGGAGAACTAAGAAATTCCCTGAGAAGATACCCCTCTAGTAATTTTCTAGGCCTTCCAAGGTGACTCTATGGAAATTTCTGGCAGGAGTTTGCTATTATTCATGGTTTACTGTTTCCACAATAAGTTCAGGAAGACATCCCTCACACATATGAGAGCAGTATTCTATTTTGTTTTAATTTGTTATAAACCATTTTGGGTCCTATGTTGTAAGAAAGGCAGGATATTAAATAAATAAATAAATCCTCCTGATTCACGCTCAAGAGGGAAAAACACAGATGGGCACAATATTTTTGGATTGAAACCAAAGCTTGGCAAAGATATATTTCTGAAAGCTAAATTCCTAGAATTTCGTCTAAGATTGATATTTTTATGAAACTCTCAAGAGGCTATATATGTACTAATAGATTCTGGCACTTATAGTCCAGCAAAATATTTTTCTAATGTCTGGGGTATGTCAGAAAGGTCATTCCTCCTCACCAAACTGTTACTTTTTTTTATATAATTCTTTATTGAGTTTTTTATAATACAGCGAAAGTGGGGGAATAATATAAGAAGATAGAAAAGTAGGAAAATACCCCTACCCTAATACCCGTGAGAGGGAAAGAAGAGAAAAAAACGGGGAGAAAAAGAAAAAAGGGGGAAAAAAGAAAAAAAAAACACACCAAAAACCAAATTTAAAAAAAGGAAAAAATAAAAAAAAATAAAAAAAATAAAAAAGTCAAAACTACAAAAATACAAAAATTTAAAAAAGACAAAAAAGAAAAAAGAAAACAAAAAGTGGACTCCCTTCTGATTCAGCGCGTCCAATAACTTTCGTCTTATATCTAATAAGTTCCATAACTTGTCATCCAATGTCCTCAAGTTCTTTGTATAGATTGATGTGTTGTTTCTATGTACTCTTCAACAATTGACCAATTTGTCTCTTTAATTACATTACCTGTATTCTTCTTTAATAAAAAAGTTAATATATCCATATCTTTTATTTCACTTATTTTGTCTGTCCAGTGGAGTTTTCCTGGTATTTCCTTCTGTTTCCACATTTTGGTGAAGACAATTCTGGCAGCTGTTGTCAAATATACAAATAGAATGTCCTCGTTGGAGTCCAGTTTAATGTCATCATCTGTAATTCCCAGCAAGTAGTATTCAGCCTTTCTTGGGAAGTTCTTTTTGAATATTTTTTGCATTTCTTCGTGTATTATTTTCCAATATTTTTGAGTTTCTCTACAACTCCACCATAGATGAAAAAAAGTCCCTTCGTGTTCATTACATTTCCAGCAATTTTTCGATACATTCTTATACATGCAATTTAATTTTACTGGAGTCATGTACCACCTATGAAACATTTTCATCCAATTTTCCTTTAAATCCATTGCATAGGTGTACTTGAGTTTTTTCTTCCACATAATTTCCCAATCACACATTGCTATTGGTCTTTTAAAATTTTCAGCCCATTTTACCATACATCCTTTTATTAACTCAGTCTCTGTTGACCATTCTAGTAGTTTTTCATATAATTTAGTTATACATTTTGTATCAGTCTTTAGAAATTTGTCCCAAAATGTCTCTTCGACCTGGAACCCCTGTTTTAAGTCTTGAGTGTATTGTTCCTTTATTTGCAGATAGTGTAACCATGTGATTTTAGGAAAGCTCTGATTTATTTCTTCTTGGGATTTTAATACCATTGAACCCCTTTTTAAGAGATCTTTATATGTAGGCCAAGTTGTCCAACCCAGTAATCTTCTTTGTTTAGCTTCCATAGGGGAGATCCAAAGAGGAGTTTTAGAGTAAAAGTATTTTTTATATCTGTCCCAGATTCTGATTAGTGAGGATCGGATAAAATGATTACCAAAAGTTTGGTAATCAAACTGTTACTTTTTGAACAACATCCCCCATAAATCCTTTTTATCAGAAGTGATAATGAGATGAGCAAATACCACTATTAATTGTGATGATGGAAGTGGTGGGGAAGCGCTATCATTTTTGGCCGGCAGAACCACAGTACAGTCAGAACAGGTACTTTTTTTGTATAACTCCATACACACACACACACTTCGGATAGCATAGGAAAGAGTTAACACTCCATGTGGAATTTGTTTTGCTGTCTGTGTTCAGAAGACTTCACCCCATTTTCTGTCCTTGTGATAATTGGATTTTGAAAAATTTGGCTTGTTGTGAAAACAAGGATTAGTGATAAAAGTTTCAGGAGAGACACATTTTCCCCATGATAATATCTCTTCCAAGAGTAGATTTCTCTCTCACTTCCGGTTGCCTCGCCCCCATTCTTAACTACGAGTTGTTAGTAAGTCTGATGTTTATAACTGGGGGAAAGCCTGTGTAGCCCACATAGTCACAAGATCAATACCAGCAGTTTCATTTATACATCTGCAACAGAATATGTCCTTTCAAGACATTTTTTAGGTCCTGCATCACAACTCTATGTATTTATAGGCTGGAAGTCTTTTCATTTCAATAGAATTCACTACTATTATCCATGTTTTCACATTTCAGCATGAAGTTTGGGAATGCAATCCTTGCTGGTACAGGAGTTTGAACGTTACGTTCTACAAATCTGTAGCATGGTGGCTGAATAAAAGATGACAGAAGACAGATGAGATGCCAGCTTTTATTTAGCCTTTTGGATCAATCTTTTTTCACAGCTCTCAATTTTTAAAAAGATATTATAGACTTCATCAATAGATTCTCAAGAATCACACTTATTTCCCTGTCATGCTATGGACACAATGCATTGCTTATTATTCTTACTCCCTCCCAATTTCATTATAAAAAAATCCAGAAAGAGGGAAATATAACCTTCTCCCTCATAATAAAAGTGCTTCACCTTCTATCTCTACTGACCAATGCATGAAACTTGTTCTGTCGCGCGCTGGGCCTGTAACAGCTGTCTTTTTTATAGGACGTATACTTTAAGCCCAGCGGGAAGCCAGGACACCTCAAAGAGAGGTTCTCAGGGATTTTTCTGAAGTGATGGTCTTTAGAGTCTTTAATGATACAACAAAGTCTTTATTATGGAACAAACAACAAATCTTCAATGGTTCAAACAACACTTCAAGGCTTTCTTAGTCAAGTCCTCAATGGACTGGTACCTGGCTTTGATTAGCTGTACTTTCTCTGTAGGAAAACCCCTATTTAACCTCTCCCAGGCTGTTTACTATCTATGCCTCATCGGTGTGGGACCTACTACCGATTCCAAATGCTCCTGGGTATTGAGTAGACCTACCAGCCGAGGCTTGTAGATATTTCAGATGGAGTTCTGTGGATCTGTAGTGCTGTCCTCCCTCAAATAATTCTTTGAAAACTTCAGGGCTGTTTTCCCTCTGATTGCTGTGAGGCTGAGAGGCTGTAAGCTCTCAGCCAGAGCCTTGGGACCTTTTCCCTGGAATTTCTGTTTCTGTTTCCCCGGATGTTCTTGAGAAAAGAAGCTTTTCTACGGGGCGAGCTGGTCTATGCCCTATAGTTTAGCTTTCTTATGAGAGACTGCCCCCCCCAAAAATGGCTCCTTTCCCTCCCAGAGCCCTGAACAAGGGGTGGAATCAAAGCTTAATTATGATGGACAGGAGGCCTGCCCTATGACTGCAAACAGATAACAGAAAGAAAATAAAGTTGGAGCTCCTGGTACAGCCGTACCAGCACAAAACTAAAAACAATGGCAGATATTTTAATATTTGCATTACAGTGTTGATGCATGTGCTAAAACATACAAGGAAAGAAACATTAAAATATTTCATAATGCCATATTTCAAGGCTAAACAGACTACAGTATTTAAGTGTTGGCAAGATCTCTTTGCAAGTCCTTTGATCTGAGCTGTGCTTTAGCAAAGTTCCACTTAATTAATTTGCAGTGTTGCCGAGATACTTATTCGAAAGAGTTCTTCTTGGAACTAGCAATTCAGATTCTGCTTGGATTAAGATGTTGAAAGAAACTGCTTGATCAAAGCAAAAAAAGAAAAATCAGCTTCATGGTCAGTGAATTGAATTTACACAAGAGCTTTAGCCGTGCAAAAAGGTGAATCACTATGACATACCACCAGAGACAATTTGCCACCCGTGTGAAACCTGGAAACTGAGCACAATAAAGACAAATACAACAAATACAGGCTTAAAGGAAATGGGAGTTCCATCCTTGGATACCTTTTGTGTAAATGGAAAAGACCAAAATGTCTGCTCATTCCCAATGTTTTGAATGCATAAGACATCCACTCATAATTCCCTTCAGTCCTCTAATCCACCCACTCACTTGAACATGAACATAGATAACAAGGTCCCTGCCTATTTTTCTAAAGCATTCTTTTAATTATTTCCATGAGGCAGAACTAGAGGAGCGCCATACGAAGGAAAAGTACCATTTTCAATCAAGGAGTAAGGCAAGCTCAGCTTGTAATAAATAGGATGAGGAAAGAGGTGGAGGTGAATCTCCATGCGATGATCAAAGCAGCACAGGAGAATGAGGAAGAAGATGAAGTTGTCCCTGGACCATAACAAATCTGAGATGCTCCAGGCACCGAAAGCACCTCACCACCTCTATTCCATAATCGTTGATGCAGAGCCCAGTTAAACTGGTAT